GGTATTGCTGAAGACGCCCCGGGTGCTGAGGGGGTGCTTGCACCCCGGACTCGGCCTCTCCGCCCGGGTCTGGCCTTTCTCCCCTCGCAATCCCGATATCTCTTAATAGTCAGTAGTGTCACCCAGTGCCGGTTGCGCTTAGGGCCCCTCGTCTCTCCGTGGGCAGCCCTCCTGGGCTGGGGGGAGCGCCCCCGGTCACTGCCGTGCTGGCCAGGCCCGGCAGCGCCTTGCTGAGGTGGTGCCAGTGCCTGGATTTCAGCCTCAGTTGTGGCACCGGCCGCAGCCCGTGGCCTGGTCGGCAAATCCTACCGCTACTGGAAGAGCTGGCCTGCATCGCGTTGTCAGGGCCGGGCTGCATGTGTGGATGGACGGCAACGCAGCCGAAAAACAAGTGCAGGCGAGATCTTGGTTAGTGACAATGATCTGTACTGCTCCCCCGGGACCATGCCTGATCTTCTGAAGAGATCTTCTGTAAACCTGAATTAAGGAGTTGTCGCAATAGTTAATTATTGACTGTAAGACCTGAGCCCTTCCTGAGGACCAAGGAGTATTTGGAAATTCTAAGCTGCCTTGGCTAAATGCCTAGATTAAGTGTTTTTAAAAAAGTGTTACTGTAGGAGAAAGACCTTGCTGACTTTTGGCAGGTCTGGAGAATATAAAATCAAAGGGGAAGAGTGACAGAAAGATTTGGACTCTAGGGAATGCGTGCTCTCTAGAGGAATCTCTTGGCATGTTGACTCTGGTGCACAGAAGAGGGATGCTACTGCAGTACTGCCCCTGTACCTAGAGAAACTGGGGATGTCAGTGTTTGAGGAGGGGAAAAGTATGGGGGCGATGATCAGATAAACATGTAGGATGCTGTCAGAGCTGTTTAAGAAGCTAGTGTTTCCACATATCAATGGAGACGTATCTCAGTGGAGGTGTCTTGCATACCTTTGTGTTTCCCGTGTGACAGCAGCACCATATAGGTCCGAAGCCAGCTTTGCAAAACCTGTTGCTATAACTGACATAGTCTGATTTGTCTTATTTATATAGGGACCAAACCACAAAACAAGCGATGGTGGCTGGGTGTCTGTGTACATTTTGGCTTAAATGAATTAGACTGTTTCTCAGAATGTGTAAGTGCCAAAAGCAAAACTGAAGTCTCTTAAATAGTAGTATTCCTGTGCCTAGGTCATAGGAGTGTGACACAGTCCTTATTTAGGTAGTCACAATTGAAAACTGGGCCCAAAATACTTGCATAAATAAACTGAGTTCAGACGGAGTGTGGTTGCGAGAAGTTAAAGTTTCCCATAAGGACTAGAGAGGCCTAATATAAGCCAACATATTATCTTTCTTTGGGATAGGAGTGCCTCAGACTAGTTAATTTTTCAAGTTTACATGCTTAGAGTCTTAGTAACTCACAACCTCATTTTACTTTTTGGTTTTTAATTTTTGTTCCTTAAAAAGTTTGGAAAAGCTTGATGCAGTAGCTAGAACATAGCTTAGAAAGTTTATTCTCTTATCAGACTAAAAATATTTAATGGATTGGATTTTGGAAATACAGCACAAGTTAGTTTAAAAAAAAAAAAAATTGATCTGGGGAGCAGTCCCCCCATGTGCTTGTAACCTGGGGGCCCTTGCACTGCAAACCTCACACTTCTGAATTACTTTACCTAGATGAATAGACTCTGTGTACAGTAGGACCCCTCATTCTGGATAAAGCCATTCATGGACCTTGGTATCTGTGAGACTGCAGCCTGAGGCATGAGGGCTTGGTATCTCACTGTAGTATCCTAACATCTGCATACAAGAACTGTGCTGTCTTGAGAGGAGGAACTTGCCAAGTCATAGCTCTTGCATAATCAGAGCTGAAAACCAAGAAACTCTAGCTGTTATAAAGCAGGGCACTGTGTTAGAGCAGTTCAGTGGCTGATGGGGTTGGGTTTTGTCAAGGAACAAAGTGCAAATAGAAGAGCAGAGTTCAAGTTTATATTTTGAGGCTTTGTGAACAAATATCTTGGGAAACCTCTGTTCCATACAGAAAACAAATCTGTCCAGTATTTATTTTAACAGCAGAAATAAAGCTTGCCAAGAGAAAGTACTCTTGATGTGGCCCTTGGATTTCTGTACCTGTTTCCTTCCTTCCTGGGGAAGGAAGCTAATAAAGAAGCTGACATTGTATTAGTCTTAATAATGCCAGCAATATGAGCTGTCATTAAAATAATGTCCATTAACCTCAATTTTTTCAGAAAAAAGGGGGAGAAACAGGCACCTGGACTAGAACTCATGAAATCTAAAAATAAACAGCACTCATCTATTTCTGTGAAATTTGGGGGGAAAGTTTGGTCATGCTTTCACATTCTTTTGTATAACCATAATTAAAGCTCATGCCCTTAGAACACATGCCCTTAAATCTCAGCTATTAACCTTTATTGTAATCCTTGGATAGACCTTCCTGGGAGCTGGGGCTTTAAGAAAAATACCAGTTAGCTTGAAACTAGGGATAAACAGTGGTTATTTTTCAAGACTTTTAGGAGAGATCCTGTATGCTATGTTACTACCTCTCTTCTAGTTGTGTTGCAAAAATACAGGATCCATGTATTGGTGATGTGTGTTGGCAGTTTTAACTTAGGTTGTTTTTTTATGTCTATTGCAGCTCAAGATGTCTAAAAAAATCCATGGAGGCTCGGTTGTGGAGATGCAAGGAGATGAAATGACACGGGTCATCTGGGAACTGATTAAAGAAAAACTGATTTTTCCTTATGTAGATCTGGATTTGCACAGGTAATGGCTTTTTATGATACACAGCCACTTTGTACTGCAATTTGCATGTGTTGTTAGGCATTGATCATGTTTCACTTAGCACTGAGAGCCTTCTAGCTCCTCCCGCATTAGTGCAGAGAGGCTAGCTAGCCCTTTTCATACTGGTGAAGTTCCGAGCAGACTCCCCTGGTTAACTTATCTAAGGGCCAACCTCACTAAATACTCTGGAAAGCATGGGCTCATGATGAAGGTATTTTGTGAGTCTGGCAGCCCCTCTGGGGTTCCTCACAGCAGTAAGCTGTGAATGCTTAATTGTGAGTTAGCTTTTTTTTCTGTGTTGTGCCTCTAAGAAGGTCTCTTACAGACATGGTCTGCATCTTTGTCTCCTGTGTCTTGGCTTTCCAGCACCTGGACAGTCTGCATGGCTTCCTGCAGCCTAAGCAATTAGAAACATGGGGTGTTTCAGCCGCTCCCTAGCTGGAAGCCTAACATCTATGGACGCTGAGTATGTTTATGGCTTCTTGCCATCTCTGTTTCAAGATTTGCCCAGAGGGCAAAAGGGTGGTTGAAGGGCACAGACTCTTCACTGATGTAAGCTTGAGTTCTGCTGCGGACAGTGTGAGCTAACTGTTGCAATTATTCCCTGAGCCTAGGCTGTGCTCCCACACTCCCTTCTGGAAAAAAAAGGAATACTAGCAGCTGGTATGGCAAAAGGGATATGCTGTCTACAGCATCTGGTCAAGCAGAACAAATAATCTCTTCCCTTTCCAGCCACTGAGCTATAATTATTAGAGAAGTATCCAGCTGCAGTGCTCCTAGCCATGTGCACAGAGGCCTTTAATGGTGTCTGCCATTATTAAACCCACAAGTCTGACCTCTTCCCCTGCTCCTGGAGTCATTTGTATGCCACCTACATTGGGCTTTCTGCTTGCTGATGTTGAGAACCAAGCAAACAGGAACGCAGCAGCATAATACATGCACACAGTCTGGAGAACATCCCTTTTCAAGGAGGGGTGGGAGGAGGGAAAGCAGACCCCTGACCGAGGCAGCACAATGGCTAGATTCATGTACAGCTGGCTGTGCTTCAGGGCTGTTCCATGCTGTGCACCCGTTGTTCTCCAAAAGCTATTAAAACAGTGAGTGTGGGAAACGTGTTTCCTCTGACTGTTTGAGGGGAGTATTGGCAGTTTTGCTGCCAGAGCAGGATTGCAGGTCCATTGTCAAAGCAGTTTTTAAGCCTAGTGTAGCTTCGCATGCTCAGTATGTGAAGGAAGCCAGAACCCTCAGCACAAAAGATTTGAAATAAAGGCCCATATTCAACTGGGGATTGTGCTGCTCCATATCATTAGAATCCCAGACTGAAAGCTTCCATTGCAGGAAGCTCAGAAGGGAAGGTAGGGGAGATAATGGCTATGTCCCATGCTGGCTGAGAGCCTCAGCCATGAACTGACGCTGTCCTTTCTCCAACCTCCTACCAGTAGCAGAAGTATCAGTATAATGAACCTATCTGTTTTTTTCCAGTCCAGCAGCATTTGCCCTGGAAAAGGGACAACTTCACTTATGGCAAAGTACTGGAACTACACTAACAGGCACATGTGGGGTCTGGTTTCATTCCTGTTGGACACGAACAAATGTCCTAGGTAGTTCTGACCATCTTTGTGGGTTTGTTACAGCTATGACTTGGGCATTGAGCATCGTGATGCTACAAACGATAAAGTAACCGTGGAAGCTGCTGAAGCCATAAAGAAGTACAATGTTGGCATAAAGTGTGCAACCATCACTCCCGATGAGAAAAGAGTGGAGGAGTTCAAGTTGAAGCAGATGTGGAAGTCTCCCAATGGGACAATTAGAAACATCCTAGGTGGCACTGTCTTCAGGGAGGCTATTATCTGCAAGAACATTCCCCGGCTGGTGTCCGGATGGGTGAAACCCATTGTCATTGGCCGTCACGCTTATGGGGATCAAGTGAGTCACTTCAGTGGTTACCTCTCTTTTTTATCTGAACAGGCTTAGTCCTGTCTGGTATAGAGCTACAAAGACTTAAGACATCCCTGGGCTGCTGCTTTATCCCTTGCAGTCCACCTGGGAGTGGGTACTTGCTAGCACTTACTTTGTACAGCACCTGGCAAAGTTTGGGAGAGCCTGGTTCATGCCTCTCTTCCCTAGATGGTGTGGCTGTATAAAGAACATTCAGGGGCCTGTGCTTAGATTAGATAAGCTTAAACACAGGGTATAACTCCTCAAAGTTATTTTTCTTCACCTCTGCAGAACCCTCCTCCCTACATAGCAATGTCTTTAGAAAATATCCTTTACACTGTCCATCTTACTTTTCAGAATGACTTTTTGGTGGCCAATGTTGATCACAGCAAAAATGTATGAGTGATTTTTTTTTTTTTAAGAAGCGGGCAAAGTTGCCTTCTGTCTGTGGGTGTGGTTTTTTAACTGTGATCTGCTTCTTAAACTTGCACAGGACTCTTGCAGAGTTGGTATTCATACTGGCCACATCAGGCTGTGGTACTGAAGTAGGGAAACATCCTTTATCAGAGCTCTCCTGGCAGATGTAGTACAAGGCCATGGAAAATCCTAGGATGGCATTCAGCATAGTGGCCTTTGGGCAGCCCAGAGGACGAGAATCAACCATACTGTTCTCCATGGGTAATGATATGCTCTAAAGCAGCCAAACATGACAAAAGAAAACTCTTGTAGAAGAGCCAAGTACTTAAATGGGTAAACCCACAAACTGAGGGCAAGTCATAATATTAGCTGGGGTGGGAAAGTAAAATAATAAATTTCCAAGAGGAAAATAATTGCAGAGCCCTGATAGTAGAAAAGAATGGGGTTCAATATTCTTAACAGTACTGAATAATTGAGAAGGTCAAAATAATACTAGAAAACAATGGATTAAGGGGGAAGGATTGAAACCCTGCCAAAGTATGAGATTAAAGTGACAGGAATAATATAAGAAGATGTAAAGGACATATGAGCAAGACACTTCTGTAACTTCAGAACAGCTCAGGGAACAGATTCCCTCAATAGGAGAGAAACTACATGAAAAAGGATGATGAATTTCAAGGAAATGTAACCGTAAACTGTTCAGGACAGTTAGGAAGATGAGATACCATTTAAAAACTTGAAGTACATGTTGGCTCTTCTTTTGAGTCTGTGTAGCTGAGAGGAGCAATGTGTATTTACAGAATTCAATGAACTCTTACTACAGATTGGCCTTATCCATCATATCCATCATAAGATGGATACAAATAATGGCTTTTATTAAGGTGCTATATGATTGCCCCTTATTCATGAGATCAGTAGTTGTGATATGAATGGTTTTTCTTGAGCCTTTCCACTCACAGACCACACAACACTCTGGGTACTTTGCGGTTTAAGACTTCGGTGCATCTGTAAAAATATACTCTGTCAATTGATGGGGCTCAAGAATCTGTAGGCTTTTTTTGCTTGAAGAGGAAGATCTCTTCTGAAACAGGCAGACTCTTGACTACTTGGCTTTCTACTGTCTAGTAAAATAATCCGATGACCACAAGGCTGAGTAAACAGAGCCTATTCAATGGGTTTTTTGGTACAACTGGTTATGTTTTTCTGTACCCTGCCCTCCCAAATGCAGGTTGTCTTTTCTGGTTCTGTCCTCCTGATAGATAAAATCATCATGGCAATTTTTTTTAACAGTACAGAGCAACTGATTTTGTGGTACCTGGGCCTGGAAAAGTAGAGATGATCTACACTCCAGAAGATGGAGGCAAACCAGTCACATATCTGGTCCATAACTTTGAAAGTAGGTATTATCTCAAAGTTGTGATTAAAACTGATATTTTTTGTTTAATTTAAGCTTAAAGTATTAGGCAGATTTGTTTGATGGTAAAATATGACTTTGAGGTAGTGGGGAAGAAGGTTTGGGACTTCATTTATCTGGAAAGTACTGAAAGTTACTTGAAATCTTCCTGGGATCAAAGAGGCATTTCAAACACAATCATACTAGACTGGTCACCTGTCATGCTCCTTGAATGATGACTTTGGTAGCGGCATGTATGTTTTTCTCTCTAATCAGAGGGAAACTTTCTATCTAAACAGGGTTTGACCTAAGGGGAGATATATTTGAGAACAATTTGTGTATAATCCTGATTTTTAGTTTGTCTTACTGGGCTCTGTATATCTTTGTAGTTTGTACCCTTCTTTATTGAGCAATCTTTTTTCAATAGAAATTAGAATTGACACTTGCTCTGTAAGGTGGAAGGGAGATTTGACAAGGATGCTCCTGCCTGTAGGCTCTAATTGTTTTGACAGATGCAGTCCCAAAGGTATTGGTGTCCCTCCTAGCAATAATGCTATGCTGGTTGTAGACCTTGCTAGGCTCAGGAGGAGTCATCCTGACATCACTGGGCTTTGTGTGAAAACAATTACACACACATTGCTAGAACCCAGGGTGTTTCTTTAGGGGCAGGATTCAGGAAAACATCATGAAAGTTCTCTCTTGCCTATCCATGATCAAAGGATTCAGGATTTGGAGCCTTATTGCAACCTATATAAATGGGTGTGCAATGTTTTGTTTCTAGCTACAAAACTCTAATACATCCATGTAAACCACAGAATCCTAGTTTTTATGCAGTTAGCTTGGCAAACAGGTACCAAGACTGCCATATGACCCTCTTTTGTAATACTTGGTCTCTCCGGCATTCTTGCTTACAGGAGCCTAAAAATCTTTACTATCTCTTGTTGCACAGCCTTTCTTCTGGAGTTCACCTGCTTCATTGCCAGTCCTAATCTGTTTTCATTTGATAGGTGACTGGTGAGCCTATATTGGAGACATCTGGCAGTTCCAGCTGCCAGTCTGATTCACCACTCTGTTGCATCAGCAAGCAGAAAGCAAGGGAGTGTAAAGATGGCAGATTACTACTGTTGCTCTGGGGAAACTCTCCTCCCCACAGATAACTTTTGTGCCAGCATATCTCCACAATGCATAAGGGAAGCTTGTCCTGTTGCTGTATTAATGTGTTCAACCTTGACACTGAATCAAGAGATTTTAATAGGCAGTAGGATTGTGTGATTGCAACAAGTTTTTGGTTTGGTTTTTTTACTTATATGCAAATAAGTATTTGAATAAAACTTAATAGCTGTCGTCCAGCAACTATGAAATCATGGCTCCAGAGGACACAGTCTCTGTAGCTGATTAAACCGTGTTCTGTCCTTGACTCACTAAGGGAGGCAGGGCGACAATGTGTGTTTTTGCTGGTAATAAGAGGAATTTCATTCCCTGCCAATATCAACTTTAAATGACCTTGCTATCTTGGCAAGCAGATAAACCCCCTCTGGCTTCCCCTCTTCATTCTCCATGTGTGTCCATATAGTAACAACCATGTGGAGGTAAGGACAAATGGATATCAGCAAAGGGTATTTTCAAAAATAAAATTTGGGGTGTTTCCAGAGTAAAGATCCCTGATAAAGGCACTGTACCACAAACTAGAGAGGTGGTGGTAGTGAGGTTCTTTAAAATTAAGTACGTGGTATCTACTTTTCACTAGAAACAAAGAGCTGTGCTCTGAAGATGACAAAGCTTTTTCATGAAGCCTTAGACCCTACTTTCACCTACAATCAGCCTCTCCCATGATCTGAATGCTGCTTTTCCCCAGGTGAGCTGGGCTGTAAGTTTAAGGCACTTCCATTCAGGCTGCTAACATGTCTGCATTACACAATCTAAGTCATGTGAGTGTTGATAGTTCTTCAGAGCCTTCTCAGGACTTTCCCTTGCACCCAGATGACTGTACATGTTCTTCCCACAACTTGCTGGAAGTGAGCCTGAGCAGGTGAAACAAAGCTGCAGGGTAGGCCAGACACATGTGCTGAAAAGATGCAAGAATGCATGTGGGGACTTGTTTACCTGAGCTAGGCAAAGCAGCCTCTGACTGCTGGAGTTAGTTCTGCAGTGCAGTCAAAGCCTGAAGGTACAAAGCACTTAAGATGGGAGCAAACCCATTTCTAGCTTTGACTGAGACCCCTGCTCCAAACTACTGCTTGCTGCTTTGATAGAAAAATATGCTGTATTACTTATATGGCTAGTAGGAATTCAAGCACGCTGACTCCTGTCACAGTTTTGCTGCTTAGGCTGGATTAAGAAGAAACTTCTTAGGGGTATTAGATCACAGTATTAAGATGTACCTAGCTGGAAAACAAAACCACCCTCCCAACTATGCATCACAGGACTCCTGGAGCTTTGAGCTGATAATGCAAAGTGAATCTTCTCCTGAAAGAGCCAATATTAAATTGAGAACTATATCAAGATACCTGGGGATAACACCGGCTTGCCTGCCAACGTCTGCTATGGGGAGACTGTTAAATCCTTAACCAAAACTAAATCTAGTTGATTCCTGTCTGTTTTTCCTCCACTAACAGGCTGTGGTGGTGTAGCCATGGGAATGTACAATCTTGACCAGTCTATCAAGGATTTTGCGCACAGTTCCTTCCAAATGGCGCTGTCTAAAGGCTGGCCCCTCTACATGAGCACGAAGAACACCATCCTGAAGAGATACGATGGCCGCTTTAAAGACCTCTTCCAAGAGATCTATGACAGGTAACTAGGACAGTTGTATACTTCCTACCGCAGAGCATGAGTCTGCAGCAGAAACATCCTCCCCAGCCTTGTTAGCTGCTACAGTTAATTCAGCATTTTCAGACACTCAGCAGCACTTTGAGGGGGCTGTGCACCTTCCCTGTCACGCTCTCCCTTGTCCTGCAGGACACAGTACTCAGTGTTTAAAGCTGTGGTGTTCATCTCTCCTAACAGAAGTCACAGATTCTCTATGGGCTCCTCTGTGATTCTGAAGCAGACTTACAGTGGCCTAGCAAAGCAAGCAAGAAAAAAAAAAGAGTAAAGAGGATGCAAATTTCTTTTACATTTCTGGGTTTTGGTTTTGTGTTTTGTTTTTTTTTTTTCACTTTTATCTCTATGCACCTCACTATGCACAATTACTTGCACAAATTGTGCAATCCTTGTTTTTATCGATATGACAAGGTGTTCTGGTTTTTGTTTCCCAGAGAATACAAGTCCCAGTTCGAAGCCAAAAAGATCTGGTATGAGCATAGGCTCATTGATGACATGGTTGCTCAGGCCCTGAAATCTGAAGGAGGCTTTGTCTGGGCCTGCAAGAACTACGATGGGGATGTGCAGTCTGACTCTGTTGCACAAGGTATGAGATGTTCCCTGTGCTACACAGAAGTAGGCTCAGTAGCAGTCTCTTGGGATCTTGTGTCATATCTTATGTAATGGCCCAGGAGGTGGTATTGGGTCTCAGAACTTATATTACAAACCTGTGGCCAGTCATTGAGATATCAGGCAGGCAAAGAATTTCTGATTTCACTTTTACAAGAAACTCCATTGAATATAGGCTGTGTAGTTGCACTTTACTGGACGGCAGTTCCTACCAACATAACAACTGATAGGCTTTCCATTCTAATGGAAGGTATCCAGACAGCTGGCATTCTGTCACTGACAGCTCGAGTTAAGCTGACTGGTGGTGAGCATGATGGCAGGTGTGCTACAGATAAGTAAGTAAACCTTCAGGACCTAAAGCTACCTGTCAGGTGTAAAGAGAGATTGGTATGTTTAACTTTACAGACTGGTAGTGCTTGATCAAAATCCTATATAACCAAGCTGCCTGGTGCCAAAACAAACATGGGTGCAGAAACCCACAGGACAAGATGTGTGGCTTTATTAATATGCTCTTTCTAAAGTACTGCCAGTAAACTGCCTCCCACAGAACAAGGATGTGTGTTGGACTGCTGAACAAAGAAGCTTTCAAAGATGCAGATCTCTGAAACCTACAGAGTTAGAAGGGATGTGAATGTCCAGTTTTGCCAGTTTGTGGTTCCTTTCACTACAGCAGATGCTCTTGATATGATTCTATGTTTGTTTCCTGTCAAAAAAAAACAGCTATTGGCAGCCCAACACTGGTTATTTAAGATTCTTTGTTCTCATACTGCACTTTTTCAGTAAAAATCTGTCCAGCAAGTTAGGTGAGAATACTAATTTTCTTGAAATGGTGGAGAATGCCTGCATATCTATATCTTATGGTTCAAAAAAAAACACTTTCTGTTCAGATGAGCTGTTATTTTGACGTGTTAGGACTAGCCAGTTAGTTGCAACAGCAGCACTGCTGTTCAGGAAGACTCACATCAAGACTGGGAGGATGTAGGATGGGGGGATTAAGGGGAATTTAAGGGGGCTGTCCAAAGGAGACAATGAACTTTTAAAACTGTGTATCCTGTAGGCTATGGCTCTCTGGGGATGATGACCAGTGTGCTGATCTGCCCTGATGGCAAGACCGTTGAAGCAGAAGCTGCTCATGGCACAGTTACTCGGCACTACCGCATGCATCAGAAAGGCCAAGAAACCTCCACTAACCCCATTGGTGAGCTGCTTTTCACTGCCCTTCAGCGATCTCTGCACATGAAAAAACAGGTTTGGAATAAGAACGTCTGCATCCTTTCTGCAGAGAATTGCACCACTGAGTGGTGAAACTGGTAGTTCATAATGCATTTTTCTTCCATGGAGACAGCTGCAGCCTGGAGCAAAACCAGGATGGAATGGAGCAAGTGTGAGCAATAAGCTAGACCTAACCTAGCCTTTGAGACATGCTCCCACTCTTGAGCAAACAATGGGTTTATAGCCTCAAAAGCCTTAAGGTTTAGGTTGTTTTTTTATTTTACTCCCCTTCCTGATGCTCCAAAAGACCCAGCCACCCCCCAAACCATGTACATACTTAAAGTGTAAGTGTACCTAGAACGTGGCATGAGGGAAAGAATCCTCTACAGTTGCATAGGGACCAGAGTGTAATGTAATACTAGGAAGAAGACTGCACCCTCCTATCATAAGGACGACTTTCTATGTAACCAGAGAGTCCTACCACTGGTCATTCTTTCCAACTTGGGCAGGAACAAAATAAGATAAAAAGGCACGTGCAAAGAGATTGCTGGAGGCAGTGAGTAGTTTCTGGGGTTTGTTTTTCTTTAGAGCTGCAGAAAATGCAAAGGATGCCTAGATGAAGATAAGTGTTCTCTTTCCCATACCAAATTTTCTGTCTCTTTTTCTGTCTGTTTTCACTTTTAATAATCTTAAAAAATAATTACTGTTCCACATGACAGTTTAGAACAATGTCCAGGGAGTTCTAGAAGGACAGAGTAATCTAGTGTTCTCTCTCAGCCTCCATCTTCGCATGGACAAGAGGACTTGCTCACAGAGCTAAGCTGGACAACAACAGTAACCTCAAGAACTTTGCAGTTGCTCTGGAAGAAGTCTGCATTGAGACCATTGAATCCGGCTTCATGACAAAGGATCTTGCTGCCTGTATCAAAGGCCTGCCTAAGTAAGTGTATGAAGTAATCGGCTGTGCTTGGAGGAGGCTGTTTTACTTAGTGTTTCTGAACAGCATTTGCTGGAAAGTTATTTTAGTATGGTGAAGAACTGCTGGAGTTTGGTCACAGAACACAGCTCATCTGTAGCCAGTGCTGTACAAACAGAATGTGAGACACTCCCTGCCCCATGTAGCTTAGTCTAGGTTGCTCTGTCCCTGCTATTGTACCAAATGCATGGGGAGAAAAATAAAGAAGGAACTGCAAAGATTTCTCTTACGACAGGCTGGCTACAGCCCTGTCCATTTATTAGGATGGAGACCTACTTCACTGCAAAATACCACCTGGCTACCTCTTCTCCGGAGCCTTTTGGCAAAAAACATCAGCCTGATGAGTAGGCAATAACCCTTTTGGTTTTAGAGGCAAAACTTAAGAGTTCGTTCAACAGTCTTCCCTTGCTTTGAGCATTTGAGTGGCTTTACAACTAATGTCTGTCTTGTTTTGTTTCTCCCCCATAGTGTCACACGCTCTGATTACCTGAACACCTTTGAGTTCATGGACAAGCTTGCTGAAAACTTGAAGGGGAAGCTGGCCTCTCTGCCCAAACTTTAAGGCACGGGTGTAAATAACCCTGTATCGCACTCTGTTGTGTGACGTTTCAAATACTAGACAAAAATGAACATGTACACTTTTTTAAATGTTTAAAAGACCATGTTTTCTTAAATCCCTTGAGCTGCTGGGCTAGGCCTTACTTTTGCTAAGCAGATGAATGTGATAGTATTCAAGCTCAATATGTCTGGGCACGGGTTCTACTCAAGCTCCACTAACAAAGCGTCTCCCACTTACACCAGAGTGTAAATAACCCTGTATCGCACTCTGTTATGTGACGTTTCAAATACTAGACAAAAATGAACATGTACACTTTTTTAAATGTTTAAAAGACCATGTTTTCTTAAATCCCTTGAGCTGCTGGGCTAGGCCTTACTTTTGCTAAGCAGATGAATGTGATAGTATTCAAGCTCAATATGTCTGGATTCCTAATGTCATTCACAGCAGACCTGAGGCTTCTCTTCATGACTTTGATCTGTGTTTCTTTTCTCTCTTCCTCTCAGACTGAAAGCCAGTCTGTGTCACAGCTCTGGTCAAACCAGTGGTGACTTACTGTCCAACAGACCTTAGAAATCAGAACCGTCCTCATCTCTCCAGTACTGTCTGCTGAGTATAAGTGAGCTCATAGGGCTACACCAGCTCTACTGCAGCCCCTTTCTTAATTTATCTTTTAGTGCCAACCAGAGCATAGTGTCCTGGTACTAAGGGATTTGGTCCCATTACTAGTCATGATTGTAGCATTGAGGAAGCACTTAGTAAATGCTGGAAACAAGCCCTATAGGCTAAGAGCCTAATAAAGGCATGCTGCAGTGTCTAAATGCAGGCCATGCATTTAGTTATACTGCTGCTGACTGGATGTGAAGCATAGGAACTGTTACCTCTTCCCCCCACCCCACAGTTCATAAAGGTGCAAAAGTTTTCTCCGATCGTCTGGGCTATTTACTTACCCTTCCTGTTGTGATACAGCAAATCAGATTATGACTCTGAAAAACTATTCCATCCATGATTTTGTGTGGGGTTTTTTTTAAGAATATTTTAGTTCAGACTAAAATAAAAGCCAATTAACATTCTTTGTGCTTCTTCCTTTGTGTGGTTAGCAGACAATGGGGAAATTCTGCCTCAGAGACTCCAGTACCTTTCAGCACAGTCCAGTACGTGCTGGGACATTTGTTGGAATGTGATGCAAATACAAAATAATCTCTCCCTTCTTAGAGTAGAGTTCTAATTTATTCTGGCCCACAGCAAGATGTGATCTGTAGCATGGTGATAAGCATCAGGTAGTGCACAAGAATTTCAAGGTACCACTTCCATTGAAATTTGAGTTTATATTAGTCCCAAAATAAAACTGATGTATCACCAGTCAACAAAGATCAGAGACTGGTTATACATGAGACAAACTCTCAGCCTGCAGCTGACTATCTACCAGCTCCTACCCAGCTTCTGGAGTTCAGAGTACCAGCAAAAGCTTAGTACCTTTAAGGAAACTTAACAAATAAATAAAGGGCCATTTTTTAATCTTATAGTTCTTGTTTGTTTTAATGACTTAACAGTATAGCTTAAGTGTAAGCGATGTAGTAGCATTTACCTGACTGCAGATGACACTATTTTCCCTCTGTACTAACAAAGTTTCCATCTTCTGGAGGACTCTGCAGAGTACAGCAAGACCCAATCCATCCTCGTGAACTGGTGCATGCTGCTGAAGCACTGAGGAGAGAAAGGAACACTTTGTCTCTGTGTTGGGAGAAGCAGCAGTAAGTGTGGTCATAAGAACAGAGCATCACTCCCCCTGGTTTGCCATGGAGAAAGAGGAAACATTTTTTCTTTTGAGGAGGAGGCACATTTCCTTCCCCTTTCTTACTAATATGATCACTTCTTTTTCCCACCACTCCCTCAAACATTTAATATCAGTAACCTTCAAAGTTAGATACCAGTAGACCCTAAAAAAAGCAAGGACTGGAGGCCAACATGCACCCAGTCTGCAATGGGAAAGAGCACAGGATTTCCTGACACACAATTGTCTGCTTCACAGTGTACCAGCTGCTTCACAGAGCTCTTGGGTAGGGCCCTTGTAATTCCCACCACCAGTAATACCCCTTTGCACCAGCATGCCCATCAGCAGACCCCAGCAAAAGTTGTCTTTGATCAAAGTATAGCCTAACTTACCTTTAGTACTGACGGTGATATAGTTAGATGTGTGCATCTGTGTCCTAGGTATTGCATGCTCAGATTGGTGGCTCAGTTTTCAACTCCATAGTTATGCAGATCCCCACTGACAGCAAATACAGTGGGAGGGGATATAGCAGTTACCTGACACGGCTCCCCTCCAGAACAGCAGAGAGCTCTGACTTCTAGGGCTGTCCAAGGCGTCAGTAGTCAACCCTAAATCTGACTTCTCAGTGGACTGCTGTACCTGTACAGAAGCCAGCTTTTACAGGTGGTAATGCCAAGCAATATGTCAGCATGCCTCTTCTGCTTGCTGTCAAAGCCTGGGCTGCTACAACCCTTTCATACCCTTTCAGCAGCCCTTGTGGGTATCTGCAATGCCAGAAGATCAGCCCTCCAAGGTGTACTCTCCCCAGGCTTCTGTAGGGCCAGGAGAGAGCTGGCTGTGGTGCCACAGCACTTGTGCACAAAGACTTTGCAGACAAGCACCCCAGCATTTAAAGGTGGAGGGGCAGAGGGCGGGGAATAAACATCACAAAGCTTTTATAGTGTCCACATAGAAGACTTTATTTATACTTTAAAATTTAAAAAATAAGCTATACAAAACATTAGAGATATTCTAGTAAAGACGCCTAAGCCCCTAGGAGCTTGAGGGCTGCTTGTTCACCCACTATTTTACTTCTGGCTCCACATCTTTTCCCATTGTTATCAGCTTGCCTGCCTTGGCACTTGGACATCCTTCAGGAAGCCATTCTTTTTCCTCTTTGATCTTCTTGGTCATTTCCTTGGCTTTAGCAGTGGTGTTCTTTTTGGTTTTGTGGGGAGGAGAGTAGAGGAAGTCCATGTCTGTAAACGGGTCACCCCGCCTCAGTTTACTGCAGAACCAAAAAGGTTAGAATGAACCATCAAGGTATTTTTTGAATACACGTATGATTTCAGTCTCTAAAGTTTCTGATTTTACTGAAATGTTTCCACTGTAAGATGACAGAGTGGTACAGTTTGTTCCTTGTCCAGTACAGGAACAGCTGTACGAGTACAGAGTACCTTCTGATCCAGTATAACCACCTCCTCACAGAAGGTTCAAACTGTGACACTTTTCAGGGAATAAACAGTATTACCCAGTAGCATAACAACAAAGTCATCATTTCAGGACTTAAATGGTTCTGTACAGTAGCCATCGGATGTACTAAATCTACAGTTTCTTAGGAAAAAGATGTAGCTACTTGTTTAGATACTCTTTATCTTGGAGGGCAGACTTTGGCCTGTTCAGGAGCCTGGTTGACAGTCCCTTGTGAGGCAGTCCTGGAGGGGAAAGGGTTCCAGGGGAAATGTCCAGAAAGGCTGGACATTCTTCAAGAAGGAAATCTTAAAGGCACAAGAGCAGGCCATCTCCATGTGCCGAAAGATGAGCGCGCAGGGAAGACGACTGGCCTGGCTGAACAGAGAGCTTTGGCTGGAACTCAGGAAACAAAGGAGAGTTATGACCTTTGTAAGAAGGGGCAGGCAACTCAGGAGGACTTGAAGGATGTTGTGAGGTTATGCAGGGAGAAAATCAGAGGGGCCAAAGCCCAACTAGAACTTAATCTGGCTACTGCTATAAAAGACAATTAAAAATGTTTCTATGAATACATTAGTAACAAAAGGAGGGCTAGGGAGAATCTCCAGCCTTTATTGGATGCAGGGGGAAACATAGTGACAAAAGAGCAGGAAAAGGCTGAGGTACTTCATGCCTTCTTTGCCTCCAGCCCCCTGAGCTGGAAGACAGGAATGGGGAGCAGAATGAAGTCCCCATAATCCATGGGGAAATGGTTAGCAACTTGCTACACCACTTGGACACGCACAAGCCTATGGGGCCAGGTAGGATCTACCCAAGAGTACTGAGGGAGCTGGCAGAA